GTGCCCAGGGCCTCCTATGTTTTTAAGACACCCTGGTTAAAATTGGGAAACGTGGTGTCCACTAACTTTTAAATCCAATTAAATTGTCAAAATCGTCCAATATTCATTAACAATATGTAAAGAATGATGCCTTTAAAACAGTGAGTCCCCTGGAAGCGTGAGGCCCCCTGGTAGCGTGGGGCCACCTAGAAGCGTGAGGCCCCCTAGAAGCGTGAGGCCCCCTCAAAGCGTGAGGCCCCCCAGAAGCGTGAGGCCCCCCAGAAGCGTGTCCGGGGGATCTTCGCAGAGGCCCCCTCGAAGCGTGAGGCCCCCTAGAAGCGTGAGGCCCCCTCGAAGCGTGAGGCCCCCTCAAAGCGTGAGGCCCCCTGGAAGCGTGAGGCCCTCTAGAAGCGTGAGACCCCCTGGAAGCGTGAGGCCCTGGTCTAGTGCCCAGTGTAGCCATACCTTAAAACGACACGGGGAAAGGTGGGAGATGAAGTAGGTGGTAGTGCCTATTTTGCACAAAGATTACTATATGGCTGTACCTACATTTTGTTGTTTGTTTGTTGCTGTTGTTTTTTTGTTTTCAATTTTTTTTTTTTGGTTTTTGTTTTGCTTTGAAACATGTAAACAAGCGGATAATAAATTGGTTTCGTACCGTCTTTTTGTGTCCATAAATAGTAGATGGATGAACTTGGCGTTTTTAGAAGGGCAAAAGCAGTGGTTCTTAATTTTGTGTTATCATGTTTCACTTTGTCATATATTTTGTCGCCTTTGTCTTTGTGAAGTTCATGGAATTTTATCATTTAATTCACTTTTAATGCCCTACCTAATGACGATTTTGGTGCCCCACTGATGTAAGCACCTGGGGCGAATTCACCTTCGTCCTCCCCTTTCAGACGGTCTTGGTTCTGATAACCTGTTGTGGCTGGGGTTAAGGTTCGCCACCCGGGAATGTCAGGGAATCAACCACACGGAAGCCACCTGTTGTGGCTGGGGTTAGGGTTCGCCACCCGGGAATGTCAGGGAATCAACCACACGGAAGCCACCTGTTGTGGCTGGGGTTAGGGTTCGCCACCCGGGAATGTCAGGGAATCAACCACACGGA